CGTGGATGATGTATAATCTTATGGTCGACCCTTCCGTTGAAGAAAAATTAGTTAAAGAAGCTAATTCTTTGCTCACGTCAGAAAATCCGATTTCAAATTATGAAAGCACAAAACTTTTTCAATACGCGCATGCAGTATTTTACGAAACGCTTCGATTACATCCTGTAGTACCGAAAAATATGAAGGTAATTACCGAGAAAAAAAAATATATAAAGTTTTATGCATGTTTTTGGCAGGGCAAAATTTTAATAGATCGCTTATTATAATAGATATGTCTTAATGATGATGTTCTTCCCAATGGCGTACCAATTTATGCTGGTGATATGGTTAATTGGTCAACCTGGTCGATGGGAAGGGATGAAAGGACATGGGGGAGTGATGCAAAGCAATTTAATCCCGAAAGATTTTTAAATTCTGAAGATGGGTTGAAGCCAAGTCAATATAAATTCACTAGTTTTAATGCTGGACCAAGATTATGGTATGTAGAATAAACCGAAATTAGATTTTTTTTTTTTTTTTTTAAATATTTATTAACTTTTTGTTTATATTAATAATTGGATAGTCTTGGGCAAAGTTTTGCCACAGTTGAAACCATAATGTTAGCGACGGCTGTATTAAGACAATTTAAATTTGAAATGGTACCGGGACAAAAATGTCCTCCTGATTATGGTCGTTCTTTAACTTTACCAATGAAAGATCCTTTACTAGTTAAAGTTCATTATAGAGGATGATTAATCATTATTAAATGTAAAATAATTTTTATTTTGAATTTTTTTCTTTCTTATTTTGTAAAAAATTATAGTTAATTAGCTATGTAGAGATTTTTAAGTAATAAAATATCAAGATTTTGAGATAATTTTCGCCAAGTTTGTGTTACCAACGGCGACAAGAAGTTCAAAGTCACAAAAGACTTATTTCAATTGTAGTAATTATAAATCGATTTCTCAATAAATTTGTCTGGTCAATGACTCGACTCGATATTTTGTATTCATATTATATTTATTCTTATTTTATATACAGTATATATACTGCATAAAACCTACCGTTTACAAATATTTTGCATTAAACACGTGCCACTGCTTTTAAAGAGCTAAATCAAACCGCAGAGACTGCGGAAGCCGTGAAAGCTGCCGAAACAAAGTTTGGATGGTTTGGATGTTTAATGTTGGTTGGTTAAGCTTTAAAAACTTGTTGAAATTTTGTTTTATGCAAAAATATATTAATTCTCTGTTGTTTCGGTGTTTCAAAGCAATGAATTCATGATCCAAAAAAAACAGTAGTCAACTGACTGTTTATAAAAAAAGAGGTAAACAGTTATCTATTCTGAAAATACTAGGTGTTTAACGTTATTTTGAAACTTAACAACGGCAAAAACTTTAATACGCGTATAAAGGCTATATAGATTAAGATATATTTAATATTTCAACTACGTCCAAGTTTCTTATTCGCACGTCTAAAACCGGACAAAAAATTTGTCGAATACAAAAACTGTTAGCGTATTAAAATGTAAATTCTTAATTGGAAAACCTGATAGTTTTTACAGGATTTTATTAAAGCAATGATAGGGCTGAAATAAAGTTGCATGCACAAAAACTGCGTTTTTGAATTATTTGGAACTCAAAAACTGAAATTAGACAATGATGATCCAGAATGTTTACGCTCCGCAAATAAGAGACTTTGATTATAAAATGTATAAACAGTAAATTTGGTATATGAGTTACTCTTTGAAGTGACAATTAAAAGGACCTTGATATTGATCATGGAAATTCCATTATATATTATGTTAAAGATTTCTCGTTTATATATGAGATGCATGAACTTTCCAATGTAAAGGAAAATTGGTTCTTGTTCTAATTGTGCATAAGGGGACGAATCAATAAAAAAGGAATAAGTATTCAACATTTTAAAAAAAAATATGACGTAATGTAGAGCAAAAACAACGCTTATTGCGTCAAGTTCATGTTGATCAATTTTTACGACGCAAATGCTTGCCTTGATATTCACCTATATTGAATTAAAAAAAAGCAAAGTTAATAAAAAAAGGCGTGTTATACAGCACAGATAAAACGTCTTTAAGTATTCAAGTTTGGCAAGTATTGAAGAAATCATGTTTTTGATCTTCATTTTTAGTAGAGGAAATTAAAGTTAGTGAGATTAATTAGGGCGAATAAGCAATTTTGTTAACATTTATGAAATAAAATAAAAAAGCAAGTAAAAATTTTTTTGGATAATTGAGAGGAAGTGAAAATACACGAAAATTTCTGATATAATATTGGAATGTCTGATTGATATTATTATACGTGATTCACATTTTTAGGCTGTTATTTCGATATTACGTTGTCTACCGAAACTTCAAGTTTAGAAATTCGTCCTTTCAATAATTTGGATCTGAAATGTTATTACTTTGAATAAAAAATTATGGTAAACGATCTTGCATTTACATCTATGTGAAAATGTTTATTTTCCGGCACACTACACCAATCAATAGACTGAACCAAAGTCTGACACAAATCATCAAATATTGGTTAATTAAACGTTATTTAGTAGTTATAACATGATTTGTCAAATAGAATGTTAGACGATGAAAAAAATCTTGATTATTATTATGTTATTCATTCATAACAACGGCTTTTAAATGGATGTAAATATTTTAATAATTTTGATAACAAATGAAGTTTGTCAAAACTAGATCAAACTTTCAGAAAGCATAATAAAGTTTCCACTTACATAATCTTTTATTCAATACAAAACAAAGTTAAATATTTTCATAAGTAAAATAAATAAATCGAAATTAAAAAATATTTATATAGTCTAGAAGTTCGAAACAGACTAGTCTACTTGTATATAAAAAACTTAATTAAATGATGTCTTTTAATTCAATCAAATTTTCCATTTCCTTCTTTGAAAAATATTTGTCGTTAAATATTACTGGAATATTTGAGTAAAATTTATAGATTTGTAAGGGACTATCCATCTTAAAAATATCAATTTCATTATCTTTATCCAATTTCAATCGAACATAATCTATTTGCTTTAAAATTTAAAAAATTAATATTGATATCTATAACTTGCTTATAAATTCAAATTTACATACCATAATTATAGAGTTACTTTTTAAATTAATTGAAAGTTGTGACTGATAATATAATTTAAATGGAAGTGGTATATTCAATCCAGCCCAATCCAATAAGTGCAGACAACTGGTTATATTTTAATGAATGTATCAATAAATAAATATAGATTTCAATGTAAAAATTAATAAATATTTTAAGATTAACATATATAACATATATATTACTTACACCAAATTCTTTAACAATAAACTCCACAGAACAATCTTTATTCAATAACTTTTTAAAATTTAATTTCAAACAATGATAACAATAACTTTTATAGACATTTAAGAAATTTAGTTCAGGCAAAACGATAGGAATTACTTCATCTTCAAAAGATAGCACTTGGCCAGATAAACTTAAATTAATGTAAATATTAGTTGTATTAAAATAAAATAAATTATAAATATATACATAAAAGCTTATCTATTTGAATCCATTTCTTGAAACCGATGAAATTCTCTATTCAAATTTACAAGATTAGAAAGAAAATAGATTCTTTTTTCTACAAATCGGAAAATCAAAATGTAAATTTTATATTTCTAAATACTGTAAAAAGGTAATAGTGTGTATTATTCTTACTTTGATACATGAGTTTATGATATTTATTAATTATTCCTAGTTCAATAAAATCGGTATCAAATATTTTAAAATAGTGTAATAAAAATGACAACAATTTGTATCTAAATATTCTTGCGTTAAATATTTATATAAAATATTTCCGTTATTGAATGTTATATCATCAAAATGTTTTGACAAAAATTTTGCCAAATTATCATTATAATTGAATAATAATATGCATTTTTCAACTTCAATTTTAGTTTTTTCATTATTTCCTAGTGCATAATATATTAGGCCTTTATAAAAATATGCAATACTTTTATATGAAGAATTTAATTGCATCAATTCATTAAGATCTGATAGAGCGTTTTCATATTCTTTAAGTTCGTAATGAGTGAAAGCTTTTTTAATTAAGATATGGGTATTCTCAGGATCAATATTATATGCTTTTGTAATATGCGATATTGAATCATTATATCTTCCTAAATAATTAAGAATTTCTCCATAATAACATCGTAATAATGATTAATTAGTATTTTATCCAACATTTCTAACGCTTCTGAATATCTTTCTTGAATTTCATAAATAAATGCACAATACTTCAAACATAAATAATTTCT